TATATTATAATATATACATGTATATATTATAATATTATTAGCTCTTTCAAAAAAGTAAGTAAAATGGACTTTGAGATGTTTCGAAAACCTTAACATTTTGTGAATTCAAATTCTTGTCTCTATGACGAATCTTTACCATTGCGAAACGTCTGCATTTGTTAAAAATGTCTCGGCTTCATTTGTAATTTACTTGTCTCGTTCAGATTTTTAAAGTTTATAATTAGATTTGTTCATGTTGAAATCCCTAAAAATTTTTGCATTTAAAATGAGATAAATATACATTTGATTGTTGAAGAGAGAGAAAGCGAAGATTCTAAGTGCAAAAAGTGCAAGTAATGCGAATAGACCTATTAATATATAAGCCAAAATTAATTAAATATAAATTGTTTATTTCCAATTACGGGGATAAAACTATATGGCAGTAAATTTCTAAAGCGGATTGAATTTGAACGGCGTCATCATTGTCCTCGTTCTTTGTACCGTCAATTCTTATCGCGAATCTCAATAGTTATCTACGTCAAGCAACGTGAACTTTGGATCGTGTAGTCTTGCAAAACTGCTTGAGTACAAGGTGCGCGTTCTTGCGATATTTATAATGCATTCGTTTATATTTATTTGCCCTTCGGTTATAAAAATATAAAAAATAGTATTAAGTGTGATACCAGTGGAATGGATAAATGCTTTATTTGCGATTTTTATATTCTTGTTATAACTTTATCTCAGATACAAATTTTCAATGACCGCCTTATTTGTTCGTGTCGTTTTATATAAAAACAATGAGATACAAATCCGATAATTTTTCGCTAGCTGCTCTTTGCACCTTTTTGTCGATAGGACAAGATAAAAATTGATACGTAATGTATAATTTATGCAAATTGAAACAGGAATCGAAAAGCAAGTGATATAAAAAAAGAATAATCGACACTTGAATTCTACACTGAAAAAATATAATCAATTTTAATAAATATTTTAATAAATATTATTGTATTTAGTTCAATACTGCCAACTAAACATTTACTTACCATAAATATTTGTTCAGTATAAAAAGAATGATTATTATAATCAAATTAATGTTTCTTGTATCAAATAAATATTATATGTCTTTATATTTAATTCAACTAAATATTTAATTCAACTAAATATTTATTAAAATTGACTATATTTTTTCTTAGTGTACATGAGATATACACTGAGAAAAAAATGTATTAAATTTTAATAAATATTTATTTGAATTATACTAAT